AAAATTTTATCTTCAGTTTTGAATTACTGAATTACTTGTGTAAGATAATATATATAGATAATATATATATATATATATATATATATAGTTTTAAATAACTTAAGCAATTTTGGATGAGAATATATATAACTTATATTTGAGAGAATACTCATAAGTTATTCCACAATGCTTATTTATTTGGTATTTATCTTATTCTCAATAATGAGAGTAAAAGATCAAACATAAATGCTTAACTACAATTAGAACATTTGCACAACTGAAACATACACCTAGAAACGCATCGATCTGGGCATGGATAGCTCACACAATCTATATCTTTCTTGCATTGTTTAAAGGAAGTTCGCAATTTAGAGGAGCATACGCAGCATCATGAGTGCAATGAGCATACTTGGCAAAGCTTCGATTCTCAAGAACGACATATTTGAAAAATAATAATAATAATAATAATAATAAAAGTATATATGTATATACGTATATTTTAAATTGAAAAATAAAGACAGAGACTGCTAACATGATATTGCAAAAACCACAACCACAAAGGTGGACAACAATGTGGACTTAAATATAGCACCTTCCATATTAGTCTTGTGATGTTGGTGATGAATTGATTTGCTTGCTATTAGAGGTGTTGAAGCTCTTTTCGCCTCAACAGATATATGTAGATCATAGAGAAGAACACACACATTTATATAAGCCTCAACCAGCTTATAATTAACATAATTCTCTTAAAATCTGAAGTAAAATGAAAATTTTCCAAATTAAATAAAATATAAGATATAAAACTTTCTCTAAGAGAATTTTTACTTTTATGACTCATTCAGATATATTTTGGAGACTCCTAAAAATCTCAAAAGCATCTAATAACCTAAACTTTTTGACATTTGACAATCAATTTATATAAAATCAATTTTTTTTTTCAAATCATAATAGTAAGTCATTAGTCTGTATATGTGGTCAAAGATGTATGATGTTTTTGCACTATTTTGGTCCTATTATCTCATATATAACTGCAATTAGTTTCTTTCCTTTGATTTTCTTTAGGAATAGCATTGAAATTAATTAATATATTTACAAAATATGTTAAAAACCTTAAAATTAGAGTTTTGAATTATTAAAAGAAAATTTAAAAGAAAAGTTTAGAACATAAAAATAAAATTATTAATCCTTCCTTGTTCTCTATATTGTTTTCTATTCTCTTCTCTCTCACAGCATAACAACCAGATTCGATGTGTAATAACCCAAAAAACTCCCGATTTTCATTTTCATATTTTGTCAAGATTTTTGGATATGACAACTTCTGAATGCTTATCTATTTTGATGAAATTAAGGATAAAATACAAAAATAAAATTCTAGGACCAAAGAAAAGAAAAGAAGATTTGGGAACTAAAAATTTAAAATAAAAACCCAAAGCAAAAAGATGGCACTGTAACCAGAAACTTCAATTAGCAGCAAATTTTGAAATAGCACAAAACAAAAAATTTATACTGCTGCAAAGAAATCACACTGATTTGAATTACAATATGTTAATTTTCACACCGTTTCTCTTTTCCTATTTTTGCAATTTCCATGGAGCTTGAGATTAGAAACTTTCATTTTAGGTTGTGTAACATAGACTTACATATTTTATAGGATTACTTTAAACCCTTAGAGAAAGAAATATTGAAGTGAATATATCCTTTTTTTCACATGTGAAATTTTGATGAGAAGAGAGGTGAAATTTGGAAGAGCGTTTGTCATCTTGTGTTGGTTTGATTTGTGGTGTGTTTATATTTTGTTTGTGAATTATACTATAAACAGGTTCGCCTAAAGAAAAATAAGATTATTCTACTAAATTTAGTTTTGAATCGTGTTTACTGGAGAACTTGTGAAAGTAGAGCTAGTCACCTTAATAAACAAGTTGTGAATGGTGGAGCTACACATTATGAAAAGAGTTTGCGTACAAGATGAAGCTTAGTACCTTGATTGATAAGCGTGATCGTAGTTTTCAATTGGGAACTTGAGGAGATGACATAGCATGTAGAGTGGTAGAACTACTATAAATTGATGTTTTGCTTTTACCTTCTTTCTCTTGTTTACATAAGTATATTGGTTTCTTGTACATCATCCTTTACATAATCACATATTGCATCACAATAATATTGCAAATAAAGCACATTTACTAACTTAAAAATGGTTTAAATGCAAAAAGAAAGATTATATAACCCAATTCCTTCCCTAAAAAATTGTGATGCATATAAAATTGTTGCAAATAGACCTTATGTAACTTTTAAGAGTAGTTAAAAAAGAATGGGATGAGAGACACATGGTAATAATTCAGTGGACTTTGGTTTACATGTCTTATCTGGTTGGTGGTTTGTTAAAGTGGTTTAGCTAAATTGGTTGCAAATCGGTTTAATGTTTGAGTAGGAACAATGGTTACAGCATGGCTTCCCTTGTCAGAGGCTTCAATATAATGTAGGAATTGTTTTGGGTTTTCAGGTATTTTGATGATACGTGTGTTCAATATTGTAGGCATGATGAAGGTAAACTGCATGTTGTATCTGAGTAATACCTTAGTTCAACTTTTGAGTCCATAAAGGAATATAATTAGTTCATGATCCAACAATAGTGTAACTCGATTTAACAATATATCAAAGGCTGTAAAATATTCATTCAAATGACTTTCCTGCTACAACTTGTACAAATCTGCTATTGGGTCCAAGAAAGGAGCACCACCAAATCTCGAATATGAGAAACTTATGTATTCTTCCTAGTTTGGCCATCAATAAACAAGTGGGAACACAAATCTGTGATAGTGAAATAGAAGATACAATTAAAGTTAATTTAATTATGCATCTAATATGTAAAATATGACCAAGCTTACATATCAAATAATTAATATCTAGAAATTACATAGGAACAAAATAGAAATAAATCAAAAGTATGAAATATTAATGTTACTATGTAAAAAGCACAAACCCACACAGCAATGCTATTGGCATAAGCATACCAACTTCATGCACGGGTTACATCCTAATCACTGTTGCAAGAATTTCTAGATTTCTACAATTGTTTCTTTCTGTTGTATCTAATCTCCCAAAGCTCAACATCTTGTCCTCTCTCGTACTCCTTTACATACTGAGGAATTTGTGTAAGATCAATGCATTTACCCACAAAACAAGGAGATCTTCCATATTGGAAGCGTTCGTGTTCTGCATGATAGCATTCAAATCCCAAAGCCATTAGCTTGACAATAGAAATATGATAACCTACTTGCATTGCCATTAGCATGCTTACCTCCTTCCAGCCTCAAGTAACCTCTGAAACGTGAATAGCCATTAGCAACAACATCAAGATCATCAAGACTGAAGTTGTACCGCTTCTCCAATGTCAAGTACAACACCTGAAACACAGAGGAAAGAAACTGATACTTGCATTATTGCAAGTGTTGAAAGGAGCTATATATTTTAAATGATTCGTTCTGATAAACTTTATGTGATGGGGAGAAGGTAAACAACTAGATGACATTCACATTGGATATGCTGCCTTTTGAGCAGGAAATGAGTGCACTTAACTGTTGGAACTCCTATGTGCTTTTGAACCTCTAGTTCACATTCTGCTCGTAAACTTTTGAGAAAACTTAGCTCCACTAAGTTTGATTTGAGTAATATAAGCAAATCAATATCCAAAATCTCACAAATATTAGAAAAGACTCAAATAACTCTTTTTTAATTATCATATCCTAATCCAAATTAAAAGAATCACAATAATGCATACATACATCTTGACATATCAAAAAACAGGCCTATCAGCATAGCAATGCATTATCTAAATTCACAATAGTCAAGTTCAAAGCTAGCAAGTCACATTGCGCCAAGCATACTACATGTGACTGAACCTGACTTGCTTTTAAAAGCAAACTCTTTCTAATGCTTTAAATGTATTATAAAAAAACCTTGAGCTGTCTGTGAATAGGTTGGCTAATTTTAAGATCTTCACTTCTCTAAAATCAACAAGACAGTTAAATTTTTAACATTCTCTTGCACATGTAATTGGAAGAAACCAGTTATTCTAGCTTTTGCCGCAAGCAATGCCATCTTGTAGCCAACTAAGTAAACTGAGAAATACATTAATCAATGAGATATGATAACCTAATTAAACAACCAGAGAAGCCAACATCTTAGTTCACTTTTCAAGAAAGAGAAGGAACAGTTTGGTTCTTGATGAATGTAGGAATCTGACCTGTAGAAGTCAGCTAGCCAAACAAATTGGTATCTTCAGGAAACTCTTCTAAGAAGATATAATCATTGTCAACGTGCATAACTAAAAGATCTGTTCTTTTTATACGACTAATTTGTATTTAGTTTCACACTTAAATTCTCTCTAATTTTTTCCTATTCATATCTACCTGTTGTAAATTAAATATATTATGAATAAAATTCAATTACAAAGTTTCATAGTATCAAAACAAGATCTCTGAACTCTAGAACTCTTTATTTCTTGCCGATTACCAAGGAAAATGGTCACAGCAAGAATCAATGACCTCCCATAAGTCACATTTCGGTCTATTGGAATTATTTTCATCAAACCACCCGAATCAAAAGCTTCTTAAATTCCGATCACCACTCACAAACTAAACAAAACAAATACATCCAATGGTCTCAATTAGTTAAGATGTTTATCTGTGGAAAAAGAGAAGAATACCTTATCAGACAATCGAGTGCCAAAGGCCCAAAATTCTGAACTTGAAGGGTGAAAATAATTTGGTCATGCCGTGGTTGATTAACTCCATGACAAACAATATCAATGAGAATTTCTTATTGTGGGACGATGCACGAAATTTAGAAAGTAGCCAAGGAGTTCTACATGAACAAAGAAAACACATCGAAAATCTCTACCATTAAATCTATCCTCCATGACCTGGCTCCTACCTGAAAGGCCACTAAAATTGGACCGAACCCTTTCATTTGTCTATTGTTTCTTGTTTTTGGTCCCAAAAAATCATACAGTAAGATATCGATTTCTCAATAAGATCAATCAATTCATTTGATTGCATGATAGACTCATCTGAAAAATATTGGCACACGTGTAAACCAGGTGCTGCAAGGAGATCTATCCATAATCCAGTATTACAATCTGCTCACCTATCACTAGCAACAGATCTATGTGTTTGAGAAACTTGCGCGAAACTATCCAATGATGCAGAATGGTATAGAGGAATTCTGGAAAAAAAAAAAGATTTTCTAATTTCTCAAGGTGTTGACTAGAATATTTTATTACTTACTTAGTTGAGATAATGTAATTAAAATTATATGATAATAGTTATCTCATGTAATTAGAATTTTACTATAATAGTAATTTCTCTATCTGTAGATTAAGAAATATATAAATAACCCAAGTATAACAACGGAAAGGGCGTGAAAAAATAAAATTTATATTTTTCTCCAAAAACAATATGGTATCAAATCCAAATATCAAACCCTAAAATAGCAAAATAGGGAGAGTTAGTACTCATTTATCCATATCTACTCTCATCACTATCCTAAACAGTGTTGGAGACTCACTGCTGGCCTCCTCCCGGTTTCGCCGACCGCCAGCAACAAAAGTGTGTGAGCCACATGCGTTGCCAGCAGCAGAGGTGCATGAGCCACACGCACCGGCAAAAAACCATATCCGGCCTGGAAAATCATTGAACCACCACAAAAACATCCCAATTAGGACGGATCTGGCCTTGTTGCACGTGAACTGGCCCAAATCACGCCTCTCCAGACCTGCCTTCATGTAGCTGTTGCGTGTCTCGTCGACTAAGCTTTCACTGTGTCCCATCAACGCAAATGTGCTTCCTCCACCACGCGAGCCGCTCCGACTAGCCTTCTCTGATCCTTTTTCTGACTCCTCCACACGCGCCCGCCTTTGGTTTCACGATATTGACGAGTGTGAGCTGCTTCGAACAGCCTTCTCTAATCCTTTTTCTAACTCCTACGCGTGCGCCCGCCTCTGGTTTCGTGGTACTGGTGCAGATTTGCTTCGTCCATACGCGAGCCACTCCAACCAGCCTTTTCTGGCTCTTCGGCGCGCGTCCGCCTTTGGTTTCGCGATCCAGCACAGATCCGCTTCCTCTGCACGTGAGTTGTTCCAACCGGTCTTCTCTGGTCCTTTCTCTAGCTCCTCCGCGAGTCCGTCTTTGCTAGACGCAAAACGGTTATTCGGAACTTCATTTACAAATTGTGCATGTATGATATCTTTACACCATCTTTAGGGGGAGTGTTAATTAAAATATTTTATTATTTAATTAGTTGAGATGACGTAATTAAAATTCTATGAGAAAAGTTATCTCATGTAGTTAGAATTCTATTAGAATAATAATTTCTTAATCTTTATGTTAAAAATTCTACAAGTACCCCAGATGTAACAATATAAACGATGTGAAAAAATAAATTTTATATTTTTTCTCCAAAACAACACGAGACTAAATAAAAATATGAAGCCCGGAAAAGAATATTGGAAATGAAACCATTACCTAGTATTAGCGAAGTATTTTCCCAAGAAATGAGAAAAAAAAGCATAGAAAAGGTAATGTTGGAAGAAAGTTTTATAAGTCCTATCATTGAGCAAAACTCTATCTTGCCTACTCAGGACCCTCATCCCAACTCAAACAACCAGAAAAGAAAGTAAGGCCTTGGTGTAACCACTGCAAAAAACATATCAACTTGTGATAATTGCTGGAAATTAATGGAAAACAAGCTAATTTGAGACCACATATTAGCCACGGATAAAGAAAGTAGAAAAAGCATGCCCCTATTGATGAAATTG